TACCACGCGTGGAATTACCACGCGTGGAATTACCACGCATGGAATTAATACGCATGGAATTACCACGCGTGAAATTACCACGCGTGGAATTACCACGCATGGAATTACTACGCATAGAATTACCGCGCGTGGAATTACTACGCATGGAATAACCATGTGTGGAATTACTACGCATAGAATTACCGCGCGTGGAATTACTACGCATGGAATAACCATGTGTGGAATTACTACGCATAGAATTACCACGCGTGGAATTATTACGCATAGAATTACCGCGCGTGGAATTACTACGTCCTGAATTACCACGCGTGTAATTACTACGCATGGAGTTACCACGCGTGGAATTACCATGCGTGGAATTACTACGCATAGAATTACCACGCGTGGAATTATTACGCATAGAATTACCGCGCGTGGAATTACTACGTCCTGAATTACCACGCGTGGAATTACTGCGCATAGAATTACCACGCATAGAATTACCACCCTCAATTATTGAACAAACCTTCGACATAAGTCAAAAAAAGTGAGGTTAGATCCTAACCTCAGTTTTAAGTTTTGAAAATACTTAATGATAGCTTTTCTTTGATTAATAAGACCTTTTATTTAAAAAAGAAGGAGGATTGCAAACATATTGAATTATATAAGAAATTAGAAAATATTAATCTACAGATGTCGCAAGCTGCTCCGCAGAATAAAATGGAGCAGGCTCTACTTCGCGAGTACAATAGGATGTGGACAGTAACGAAGACCCTCCACGTGTGTAAATATCTGCTTTTGTGGGACAAATGTATCGCGTTACCGATGCAAAGGTGTACTTGAATCTTCCAGCCATGGGGATACATTGCGTAATGTGCAATGTTGTGCAATTAGAGCATACTGTGCACATAAAATGGAACGTTATGCAATTCACTATAGATAATAGGATATTTGTGAAATTTCTATGCAAATAATTATATTAAAAAGTAGAACATATTATCTCTATAATTCTCGAATGTGGACCAAATCTTGAAACAGACAGTGAAAGTTTTAACAACGATAAAAATTGTAATACTTTTTATTATTCACATCTTGCTGAAACTTTATAAGAGATAAACCTGGGAATTTATAAAATCGCCATGAATAAATTTTCAATTTTAGATATGACAAATGTTTCGGAGTAAAGTAGGTAAACATCGTCAGACATGTTAATTTCCGTTTTATAGTGGCCACGTAAAATATTGTTTTTCTGCAAACTTTTAATGTTATGCATGCCACGAATTTCCATGCGAAAGAGATACGTTTCACCTTTCTTTATCTTCGTTCTTAATTTTCATAAAACACAATACGTTCTTGAGCGTTCGTTGTACAAAAACTGTTCAATAGAATCAATTATCTGGTGTACAATTTACTACTGGCTGTATCTGTTACTGTTCGTTAGAAATAGAGTAATTTATTTCGATGAATACACTTTATAAAACATAATATTTTTTCATGACAACCCCTTTTAACTCACTGTTGTCATATAACATATGCCAACATACTAAAAAATTATAAATATAAAAAAAGGTGTTACACTGCACCACATGTCTACATCCACCACAAAAATAATAAGGTTTCTATCGATTAACAATAATACGAACTGCAAAGATTTAAAATTAATTTCCGATTTCTTGAACACGTTTCTAACACTTCACCAAGAATATACGAGTGTTCTTCTTTTCCAAAAATCCAATACAAACACCAAAAAAGGCAGTGCACACTTAACGACAGTGGTACCATGACCAAACCAGGAATTAAAGGTAGCGAACGCGTTAAGTTGGTCGAACGATCGCGAAACAAGATCTGCGAGTGGTTGCAAATGCAAAAGGAAACTCATCACGCCCACGCACTCTCAATTTCCGGTTACATAAAGCGTATGCAAATTCCGGCTATGTAAATCGGATCGGTAACCCGAACGAAAACCCGCGGTTTAGTCATTGGCGTACCTAGGTAGGTGTTAGGGTGGATGGAGATTGGGATTGAGGTTGGCATCCTTGAATTTGGGATGTGACATACATCGAGATTTTGCGTGTGATGACGTGACATGTGGAGGTTTTCTATGAGAAAATTCAATATGTGGAAAGTTTCATATACAGACAGTTTCATATGTGGAGGTGTAGTATATGGTGGTTTAATATGTGGAGAATTCATATGTGGAGGTTCAATAATATGTAGAAATTTGTGGAAGTTAAATACATGAAAATTTAGTGTGGAAATCTAATATGCGAAAGTTTAAGATGTGAAGGTCTGATATGTGGAGGTCTCATATGTGGAGATGTCATATGCGAAGATCTCATATGTGGAGATTTGATACATGGAAAACTAATATATGGAGATTTGATATGTGGAAGTCTGATATGTGGAGGTCTAATATGTGTAAACCTAATGTATGGAATTCCGACATGTAGAGATGTAATACATGCTTTCCCAATATATTGGAAGTCTAACATAGATATGTAAACTTTCCAGATCCAACATGTGGTGATCTAACATGTAGAAGTCCAACATGTGGAAATGCAATACAACTAATAGTTATACAATCTCTAACAATTTCTATCCCCATACTGCGTGGCAATAAAACTCCTACTCACGCAACGCACGTCCTCACAAGTCACCCAATCCTCACAACTCACGGCGATATAACGCGAGGCACTCTACCACCACCTATCTCCAAAAGGGTATCCCAGTTACGCCAATGTGTTTAGTCACCATCAACACACCGCTCCGTTTCTCTCGTGATCAGCATATCGTTAGATATGCCATGAATGAAGGAACGATTTCGAAACACCGATGCTCGCGAAACCGCACCACTTTTGCCATCTTCGTCTCGGTACCATCGAGATGCGTTCGAAGGGATTGTGCAAAGCAAAAAGTACCACGAATAAATGGCGATCCTGGCAGGCGACTGCAACTCGGGGCAAACGAGTTCGTTTCGTAACTAATCCTCGAACGATCGACGATCGTAGACAGACACACGGTGTGTAGAAAGTCGGGGTTGATTGCTCAACTCGTAGCATTTCGAGAGACAGAGTGGCAGGAAAAATGTTAACGAAGTGGAGAAAAATGCGAATGATAGGTATGCGAACACGGGCAATGAATAGTTGCGTGGACGACCTCTTAGGATCGATAATTATGCGAATTCTAGATCGATACGTGCACTTATGCGATAAACACCTGGTGCTGAAGAGGGTAAATAGCTACTGTTGCCATTTTCATATTCTGATTAACTTCTTTACGATTCCTTAGATTTTCCTGGAGAATACTATGACATTCTTTATATCTCTAGATTTCTACGATTTTAGATGTCAGAATTACCATGCACTGAATTACCACGCGCCGAATTATCACGCGCTGAATTACTACGCGTGGAATTACTACGCATAGAATTACCACGCATGGAATTACTACGCATAGAATTACCACGCATGGAATTACCACGCATGGAATTACCACGCATGGAATTGCCACGCTCTGAATTACCACGCGTGGAATTACTACGCATAGAATTACCACGCGTGGAATTACTACGCATTGAATTACCACGCGTGGGATTACTACGCATAGAATTACTACGCGTAGAATTACCACGTGTGGAATTACCATGCTCTGAATTACCACGCGCCGAATTACCACGCGTTGAATTACCTTGCGTTGAATTACCTTGCGTTAAATTACCTTGCGTCGAATTACCACGCGCTAAATTATTACGCGTGGAACTACTACGCGTAGAATTACATGTGTGGAATTATTACGCGCTGAAGTACCACGCACCGAATTACCACGCGCTGAAGTACCACGCACCGAATTACCACGCGTTGAATTGCCATCCGTGTTTTTCCTTAATAATTCAAAAACGAAGCTTCAAACTCCATTTTTGCAAAGGGAAATCTTATTCACAATCACGTCAACTACCCCATATTTCAGGGACCTACACTAATTGTGGAACACTCTGTATACCTATATCTTCACATGAGTTTAGGTAGTAGTCTTGAATATTCACCAATCATTAACATTACAAAACCAAATGTTCCAAGTATCCATAATTACTATATAAATCTTCCCATACCTTCACTCGCAACCAAACGAAAATTACTGCCATAATTTGCTTGCATTACATTAACTTTTTAACTTAAAGCGAATTGAGTTACTCAAACGAAAGAGAGAAATTGCAATAAATTCATACAAAACATAAATACTCGTCCAACAACCAAACGATGAAATTGCAGACAGTTCTCTAAATTCCATCGACTCGTGTCGGAAGTCGTTCATGAGAGAAAGTTTCTCCAACATAGAGCAGCCTCGTACGTTTTGCATGGACTTTGTCTAAAGAAAAATCATAATCGAGAGAACCGCAAATGACGAGGTGAAATTTTTCAATGAAAGTCGTCCGATGAGTATCGTGTACCGAGAGTGGTGGCAGCGGTATCGTTAGTGACAGATGTGGCACAGCCGTGCAAGCTGGCCGATATAAAAGACGACCATAGTCTGACTGGACGTCCACGTGTATCGACAAGGATGTTGCACCTGTTCGAAGCAGGTTAGCCTGCTATCGAAAAAACCAGACGGCTTGCAGAAACTACATTGCTGTGCGAGTGAAATCGATGAATGAAATCGACCGTGCTCTTAGATTTATCCTGATACCAGATTTCAAATTTTACCATTGGGTAATTATTGGCCCGGGGGAATTCTACCGGTTATTTAATGTTATTCAATTTTTTATTTATTTGTAGAAGTACTGTATGGGGAATTGATTTATGACGACTCTAGCTCTATGTGGGCAATGTAGATGATAATTAGTAAAAATTTTTAAATCCTATGCATCCAAAGTCAAAATTTCAAATTCTTAAACCTCTAATATTCTAAATTGACAAAGTCCTAAAATTCTAAAATTCCAAACCTCAAATTCTCGAAATTCATAAAATTCTCAAAATTCTCAAAATCCTCAAATCGCAAATATTGAAAGTACAGCTCCAAAGCCTCGCGCAGACTCTCGACTAACGAAGTCAACATTGCCACACGACATTGCAAAATGCATCTCCAATAACCCAGTCTTTGTCACGCAAGGGTGAAAATCGAAAAAATGTAAATGTTCCTCTCCCTTTCATGAAAGGCTGATGATTTATTACCACGATGGAGAATCGTCATCGAGGATTACTTAGCTGCTGTTAGTCCCTAAGTAGATAAAATCACGTCGAGGACGAACAATCTCTCGAGTGTTACAACGCAAGAAATTGAACGCTAACGACATTTCAAAGAGCGGCCATGTGTATCTGCTTCGAGTGCTTTCATGCACACCTCTGCTAATTCTTATCTTGCCAGCCTCTTAGTGCATTCTGGAGAATGCATTTTTTGTCACTTGAAAAAAGTATGACAGGAACGTAGTACAGGTTCATATGAATGTATATGCAACGTCCAATGAACCATATCTGGAGTTTATATGAGGTGGACCATGTATGGTGTATGGTATATGTTAATCATATGTAATATTTAACGTATTGAACCACATATGATGTCTAATATATGTGAACCTTATATAATAATTAACATTTATGGATCACATATACTATGCAACATATATGAACTACATATAATGTCTAACATATGTGAACCACATATAGTATCTGACATATATGAACCACATATGATATTACACATATATGAACCTCATATAATATTCAACATATATGAACCATATATAATGTCCAACATATGTGAACCATATATGATATCTAACATATATGAGCTACATATGATATCTAACATATATGAGCCACATATGATATCTAACATATATGAACCACATATGAAATCAAACATATATGAACCTCATATAATATTCAACCTATAAGAACTATATATAATGTCTAACATATGTGAACCACATATAATATTCAACATATATGAACCATATACTATAATATCTAACATATGTGAACCACATATGATATCTAACATGTATGAACTTCATATAATATTTAACATATATAGATCACATATACTATCTAACATACATGAACCACATATAATATCTAATATATGTGCACCACATATAGTCTATCAAATTACGAACCATATGTAATATCTAACATATGTGAATCACATATAATATCTATCACATATGAACCATACATAAATATGCAATACCTAATATTACCTGCTAAATCAAACTCGTACAACATAAATCAAAATAAAAAAAAAAGATCAAACTAAATAATAAAAATGAGTAAAATAAATTTCGATATTCCATTATCTGATATGCAGCTAATTGATCTCGATTTTTGTTCGAATGCAAAAATGTCATAACAAGAAAGTTGTGAAATTTGCGGATGCGTAAAGGATTGAGTTAATAGCAGCATACTTTTCGTAGATCGTTAAGCTCGATGTTAGACGGAGTGTCTTCTCTTTCCATTCCACTGTCATCTTCTTCCTCTTCGACTCGCGTCGCTTCTTCAACTTCGACCTTTGCCACCACTTCGTCCTTTTTCTCGTGATCGAGCGGCGTCGGCGTCGACGACGCGTCCTGGCGAACTTTTATCCACTTCAACATTTTCTTCCGCAACCTTTTTGATCACGAAGTCCATTAGAATCGTCTCCTTTTCATTTTTAAATACTTGGTTCTCCGCGTCTTTGTTTCACAATTCTTTATGGGGAACATTAATTGTCGTTGATGTTTTGTTACATTGTTAAAATTAAACTTAACACATCTTCAGAGTCTTCGTTCAAGTATACACTATTTTAGCATTCAATTATGACACTAAAATTAGTATTCTTTATTTATGACACTCAGAATTAATTTTCTTCTTTATTACGTTTTCAAAATTAACATTCATTATGAAACTCCAAATCTCTCCGTAATTAAACACAGCATTCTTATCAATCTTTCAATATAACTGTTCCTCAGGTTTTTCACCAAAACAAATATCCTCAAGATCTTCAAATACGAATATCCACAATATCTCTGTCCCATCTAAAAATCACCTGAACATCAAACAAACCCACAATCAAGTACTAAAAATTCTCCAAGGTTCACAGCGTTGTATCAGAAATCTGCAAGTACCTCGATCGATTTAGAAATCAGTATAAGTGGCACGTTCGAGGTTACATTTCTTCGCCCGATCTCGAGCAAACAGAAAGGTTCTGGCAGTCTCGCAGATACGTTTCTACTAGTTTTGTTCTTGTTTGGTCTTTTTCCATGTGATAACATACGCCGTAACTACAGATATTTTCTCATAAGGAAACATTCAACCATTCTTAATTTCCCTCGGACAACCGAGTGATTTACGGTCACCGACAAAGCGATTTATTGCGCGGACGGTGAAATATTAAGAGTGATTAATAAATATGAAGACCGGTGGCTCTCGGAAGGAAAGGCTCGATGGACGGGAAACAGGTGGCCAGCCTGCTAGATGATCCTCCGAATGCCGAAGGATACCAGCAATTGCATGCCGGATGTATATACAAGGGAAACCCGTTGCCAGACGAGTGGTAGACTCGATTAAAAACCATAAACTCGTTTGGCAAGAGCCGCGCTTAACGGTCTAAATCTTGGTCCTAGAATATTTCACCTCTTCAATTTCAGAGCTTCCTAGAAGCGTGACCGAAAGATTCGTACTGAATGGGCCTGAATCCTTTCTTCCGGGCTTTAACGACCCGTTGCATCTTTCCCTCGAGTTCGTTCCACTTCGCTGTGCCACGTGGTTCGCTCTAGCATTTCATTCAAATTATTCACGAATTGCCAAGATCCGATATAGTTCACTTGATCAAAAAAACTGATTCACCGAAGTCAACTGACTTTTCACAGAATTCACATTTCGAACACGTGGTCCCTTTTCTCCCAATTCGATTTAGCGGAGATACAGTGACGCTGCAGCAGGTTGGACGGGTTCCTGATGACCCACAAAGGCACCAGAGGCACCGTGAACTTCATCGACGCTCCACTTTTGAACAGCAGGAATGAACTGTCACGAATCGGGCGGTGAATCGATTTTACGAGGGTGGCACACTTTGTTATCGGGGGTGGTTTTTAAGAGGGTTTGGAGCAGGCGAAAGGTTCGATAGAACGTGGGGAGAACGAACACGAGACTACCTGCACGCGGCACCGTGCGCTCGTACCTGAGAGCAGCGGCTCGCACGATGCTGAAGAACAGCCCCCCACCCATCGTTTCGTCTCTCTTCCTCTTCTTTCTCGCCACGTTGACCCCTTCTTTCCCCTACCGCCAGCGCGGGCCCACCATAGACCCGAGAAGCCAATGACGTCACCTGGTTAGCTGTCCTACGTTCACCAACCTGGCCGATCGCAGGCCCAACCAGGGCCGTGTGCGGTGGGTACTACGCGACCTCTTTTTTCAGGTGTTGGAGTTTTAGGTGACGGGTGTTGCAGATAATTTTTAGAGAATATTGGTGGCTGGTTTTGATGGTTTTTGGAGTAGGTAGAGTTGTGTCATTTTTGAAATGGTGTTACTGGTGAAGTGGATTAAATTCTTTGGTCAAGTTAATTAAAGTTAATTGTATTTTATTATTGTATGTTTGAGAGTATAGGAGACTTCTCTGTGGAAAATGGTGATGTAGGAAAAAGAGACTATGTAGACAATAAACAATATAGACAGTAAACAATGTAGACAGTAAAATGCAGACAGTAGTTAGTGGTTGATGGATGAGGAATTTTGAAATTTGTTAATTTTTTAAATTTTTTATAGAAATTTAGAGATCTAAGAATTTGAGAATTTGAAGATTTGATAATTTAAGAATTTAAGAGTTTAGAAATATGAAAACTTGATAATTTAAAACTTGAGAATTTAAGAACTGAAGAATTTGAGAATTTAAGATTTTGAGAATTTAAGAATTTTAAAGCTTAAAGTTTAAAAATTTTAACATCATATAATTTATTAATTTAAGAAACCTTGAGAAACTTTGAAGAATAATAAATTATAAAAGTTGCTATGGGAACTATAATTTGAATTCTAACCTATATTGAATTTGCACTTATGATTCGTATTCAGTAAGGTTCTATGGGGTCAGAAAGCGTGCTTAAAAAGAGAGTATGGGAGCAGGTGCTGTTGAAAACGAATTAGGGGATGGGTTCTATAGGATAGGAAGAATTAAACTGACTACAATACAGGTGCTATAACAGCGAAACTCACGTTGAATAATTCATTTATATTTTTAACTCTAAAATAGTTCTACATTTTTAATATAATTACAAGAAGTCTTAATTTTCAAACTCTCAAAAAATAGATTATATTAAAATATTTAAATATATCTACTTAACATTGAAATTTTAGCAAAATTAACATTGAAATTAACATTGTAATTTGATAAATTAAAATTGTTAGCTTTTATACAAATTTATTCACGAAGGAAATTTCGAAGCTAAATGGTATAAAAATATATTGTGTAATTTTCTCAGAAATCACTTAACTTATACCATAACTTGTACATCTATTTTTCAGTGAACTACAAATTTGACTTTGACATAATTCAATCCAATCCTGCAGTACTCAAGACACTGTCACTTATTTCAAACCACAAACCACAACTTCCTAATACTTTCGTAAAATACATGATATAACAATATTAACTATATGAGCTGAATATTTCTATTCACAGAAAACAGACCTCCTATAATATTTATGTAAATTATGTGTCCTAACTCTGAAATTTGTACAGTCACATCGGTGGTGACTCATGTACCTTGGTACAGAAAATGATGCTGTGACTAAAGAGTTCATTTAAAAAGAAATATCATCACATTGTATTCTAATAAAAACTATAGACAAACATGAAAAATATTCTGCATTAAGTTATAAGAGTTAGTTAATGATACAAATGGTGAACGAATAATTTAAATGTTAAATAAATTTTTGTTAAAATGTTGAGACACATCTTTATTGAGATGTGGAATTTTGTTGAAATTTTAAAATACTTCTTTGTCAAGATGTTGAGATATATTTTTGTTAAAATATTAATATATTGCTGTGAAAAATATTGAGGTCTTTGATGAAATTTGAAGGTACATTTTCGTTGAGATATTCAGATTTGTCGAGATGTTAAAATACATCTTTGTAAAGACATTAATACCGTCACTGAAATATTGAAGTACTGTTAAGATACTGAGATACATCTTCGTCAAAATGTTGACATACATCATATGTAGCTGGTCATACACCTACGTGAAAAATATTGAACAAATATTTTAACAAAATTAAACAATGCTTTGACATTCCCATCTTGAGAATATATGCAGTTGTTGCAATTGTTCATCTGTTGCCCGAATTTGATAAAACATAGGATTTGTTTGGAGAAGACTTTGTACTCGAGAGAGTCGCGTCTACCACGCATTGAAATCACTTCGTACGTCCCTGAAGACCACCGCTCCTCTCGTAGAACTACGACGGCAGTCACGAAGAAAACGGTTCTGTGTGGTGGTGAAGGTGTACGTGAATCGTACGAGAAACACGAGAGGTCCGTACTACGAGCACTCGGGGACAAAAGCCAGTTCTACATATCCAGCCTGTTGTACGAGATACGATTGGGTCCTGTGTGTCACCAATACACAGGTATATACAGAGGCCTACGCGAGCTCGACACGAAAAACCATGGAGGAAGGAAAAAGTGGACGCCGATACGATTGAATGTACCTGAGGGAAGCCATGAAGCGATAGCTAACTCTTCTTGGAACTCTTCCAGGCATCTTCTAATTTTTTCTTATTTTTTTGCAAATTTTTATCTCTTTTATTGCATGACATTTTTCATTAATTGCTATTTTTAATCAAATTAAATTTTATATTAGGTATGTTGTTAATATACTTAATGTACATTACAAGATAAAAATTTTGGTGTTACAATCATATAAATAATATTAATATTATTAAATAATATTATTAAATAATATTAATATTATAAATAATACTTGATCACTATACTATAATATTACGTTCAGTATATTCATATATTATAATAACACATTCACCAACTACATGTTACAAAAAATTCTTTTAATACAAAACAAAATAGTACAAAATATCCAAAATTTTAACTAGATTGAAATTTTTATAAATCCCTAATAATAAGTGGCAATTGTACAAGTATCATAAACGACCACAATAATCAATTGAACAGCCACATAAACCAAGAAAACTATTACAACAGTGAAACCTATCTATCATAACCTTTCAATACTTCCTTTCATTGATACAATGGCTACCGCGTTTACATTAAATCATGCAAATCAGCCGTGGGTGTTGTGTCATTTTTACCAGGTTAATTTGCAATCTACACCACCTTCGTGTTTGACAACGGCACGGCAATCGCCATTCACTTCTCGCTGTTATTTAACAGCAAGATGGTGGGCGAACGTAAGTGAAGCAGCCACATAAGTCGCGTAGGCTCCACCGTATTTCCTCCTTCCTAAATAAAATCGAATATTAAACGTCCTCGCACGAAACGGTTGTTCCATGAATATTTAAATACTAATCATTCTTCCTACGTGCCCGTCACGAATCCTCAGGATCGATGTGCACGAACACCGGATGCGTCGATGTTTTGAACTTTCGTTGAATTTTTATTGAATTTGAAATGATAGATTAGGGTATATTCTAAGGGTATATTCATAGGTATATTCTGTACGTGAGAGAGTGCGATTTATAGCGAATTTTGTATTTTAATCTAGAGTGTTGCGTGGAAGAAAATTATTGTCAGGGTTAGAGCTTTTATGCATTATTTAATTTAGATCGAGGGTTAGATTAAGTTAATTTACTATTAAATTGATATTGAAAATTTGTGTGGGGACTGTAAAGAAAAGTCAAACTATTATATAATCTTGTGGAATTTTACTTATTTTATTATTATAAATAAGAATCATGTTTGTTCCAAATTTACAGCGCCAACGTCGGCCATTTTTATTAGCATGTAAGCCAATCGTTGGTGGCGCATCTTCAGTTTATATTTTCAATAGTTATAAACCAAATTAGTAGATTTGATAAAATAACTTTGATCTCATGTAAAATACACTATACACATAAATACTATGAATTCAAAGAAAATTATAATTTTACTCGTTCTGAATTAAAACAAACTTGACAATGAAGATTAACCTAAATCATGAAATAATAATGTAACATTACCCTAAGTTGTGCAACAAGATATGAAACCTTATCCAAAGTTATGTAACAAGATATAAAAAATTAATACAAATGCGCAAAAATTTAGATACCATAAAATTTTCTTTCACGAATTAAAAATTCTCACCTATAAGAATATAACTAGAATGTAACCTAACCAGAAGCAATTTGCATTCTTCTAAGAAATCATCCATCAAACACCATCACTCACTACTACGCCATAAAATTACACAATACCAAAGTAAAAAAAGTGAAAGTAAAAAGAATAATTAGTTTTTCAAAGAACCAGGTGATTTTCTGCAATAAGTGCAAGTTCAAGAACACCATTCGAGACGCCCGGAAACGAAGGTGGACGGTGTTGATAACCGATGCAACCGCAGTGGCACCGCAAATCGTAGTCATGGCAATGAGCAAAATGAGAACAAATTCTATCGGGTGTTACAAGTTCGACAGAAATATAACGGAATAACAGTACTCAGCTGACAATGAATATATCTTAATGCTTTTTTTGATAATGTCCCTTAATTGCCCAAATAACCAACCATTATCGTAACTGTACCTCAAGGACGAAGTATTACCATAGTTTTCGTTATCTAATAGTAATGGACATTTAGTACAAATGTAATGTGTTTCGTGTAATTGCAGAAGTTCATTAGGGTAATGTGTTTCGGCAAAGATTGGATTTAATACTTCATGAGGATACGGTGCTTTTGAGATTTTAGAAGATTATCTGATTTTTCATTTGTTCTGAGTGCTCATGTTTGATAGATGTTGATGGAGATTGCAATTTTTCTGATGTGGAAAGTATAGGGGAATTATAGAGAAAAATGTACGAAAATTTTTCTTTGTACCACAGGAAGAGGTCCTATCATAAATTTGGGAGTCTGCTAAATTTGGAAATTGTATATGTGGAATTGGGATATTTGGGAGTTGGATATGTGGAAGTGGGATATATGGAAT